TTGCTTCCACACTGTCACAGCCTGTGCCTCAAAGGCTGAAACAGCAAAGCACAAACATTCCATTCTGGAAAGCTCTGCCAGTTATGCCTTGAAATTGATAATACTGGCCCTTCCTTTCACTTCTTTTCATTTGTTTCTGGAATTTTCTTCCCTTTTCCCATCAGCCTGAGCTCCCATTAAGGAAAATTCTATGATTCTGTAAGGAAAATTCTGTAAAATTCTCCACGATGTTATTTTGCTAACATCATCTTTCCCAACTCCCATAGCAACCACCCTTCTGGATTTTTAACTGGTTTTTTTCCACCTGCCATTTCAAATCTCACAAACTCTCTGCTGTGCTAAATGTCATCTCCTGTTTAGACATCTCTGCAGTCATTCCTGGAGCCACACACATCTACAGTGAGAAGCAGCTGCTTGTGAGCTTCAGCATTGCAATTAGCTCCAGGAAATTAAAGTTCAGCTGCCACATGCCAGCCCTCAGAAGCTGTTTCCTTGTGCACCACATTGGCTCAGCAAAGAGGATGCAAAACACCACCTAGAAGAACTAAGGAAAGGAACAAGAACAACAAAAAGACACTAGGAAGAATTGTTCTGCTTTTTCCTTTCTCCTTTTCCTTTCAGGAAAGGAAAGGGGTGGATTTATTGGGCTTTATTTGAGAAAGGTATCACAGAAGATCAGTTATCAATCACTGACTGAATTGTCCATCTATTTATCTGTAGAGAAGCAAAAACTCTGTCAAGTGCTGTTTAATTCCAGCATTGACTCTGCTGGGGAAGAATCCCTGAGCAGAAGATCAAATCACAATGAATTCCATGTAATTCATGACCAAGCTTTCTTCTCCCACCCTTCCCTGTGGAACTGGTGCTTATGGATTAATCTGCTGCTATATAGATTAATCCAGAGTTTTATATCTCACAGACTTGGGAGAAGTAAAACTCTGGATTTGAAATGAATTGGTTTCAGCAAGAGAGGAAAAGCACAAAGCAGCAAAGGTCAGGAAGGCCAGCACTGACACTGCTGACGAAGAGTCCCTGAGCAGAGGATCAAAGTGCAATCTAGGGCTGAATCACAATGAATTCCATGTAATTCATGACCAAGCTTTCTTCTCCCACCCTTCCCTATGGAACTGATGCTTACTGATCACTGTCATGCCAGCACACTTGGCTATATGGACTAATCCAGAGTTTTACTTCTCACAGACTTGGGAGGTGAGAAATGAATTGGTTCAGCAAGAGAGGAAAAGCAGAAAGCAGCAAAGGTCAGGAAGGCACTGAGCACACACGTGGTGTCAGGGTGGTGGCTGTTCACCCCGCACAGCTGCACACCATTTGCAGGCACTCTCCTGAGAATTCGAGACACTGAAAGATCCCTGAGAGCTGTGAGCAGTGCTAGGAGGGTGTCTGGACTTAACCCCCACATTTCCACATTCCACCACAGTGCCCATCCAGTCTTCCTCCCTTTTACAAACCTGCAGAAAGTGGAAGGGCAGTGGGTAGAGCCCCTAAAGCCTGAGAGCAGAGAACTCAGCTTAAAGATATCCAAGCAGCTGACACGAAAAACCCAGCCCCAGTCTCCTTCAGCAAAGAACCAGAGACAAGTGACACAGTCTCAAAACATTTGCTAAGTCAAAAAAATAAAATTTAAAAAAAAAAATCATTGCTTTGTAAATAAAAAAGATGTAACTTCTGCTGTAGCTCTGGGAGACTCAAGTGTTTGGTTTTGTACTTGATAAAACAGGAAGTTAAAATCAAATCTGAGCTGAAGGTTTTCATCCTCTGCTTTCAGGGGCTTGTGAAAACAACAGCGCAAACAGCCTGCAGCACAGACCACTGAGCTTGGACTGTTTGTCCCTACAATAAATACTTCACCAGTGCATGTTTGTAATTTTTTTTCATTTGTATAAGGACTGAGACAGTAACTTCCCGAAGGAAGAAATATGACATGAGGATTTCTGTGGTTCCAGTCAAGCTAGAGGATCATGACTGCTGAAACTTCCCTTGTCTGAAGGTTAGCTCAAAATAAGCTGTGCAAATAGAATTCCCTGAGCCGTCTGACCATCAATACAGAAATTTCCACTGTATTCCTTGAAACCACATGACAGAAATCATGGTAATGCAGCAAACCAGGAAAGATTGCAAGATCTGAGTTAAACCAACTGCTTTAACTTTACCCATAGCTTTACTTTTACTTTACACATAGCTTTACTCCTAAGGGCCTCATGCAGAACACAGGTCACACTGACTTCTGAAGGTTTAAAAACCCTTTCAGCCCATCCACCTTGTAAAACCAGTTTACCTTTTTCAACTGACTCACAGCAGCATCCATATGTATCCTATTTCAATGGCCATGTGTGAATCCTTCATGAAATGAACACTGCAAATATGACCATCTCTGACCTTCTGCAGGCTGTCTGTCTGTCCATCCCAAGCCCTGCAAGGCAGAGTGGTCTCTCTGTGTGCCCAGTGGCCAGCACAGATGCAACACATCATTGTCAGGGTCCCCAGGAGCACCACCAGGACTTACCTGCCTTAGGGCTGGCCTGTGGGTCCAGGAGCTTTAAATTCAGGCCTGAGAAATCTGCAGGTGCAGTCACCTCCTGCTTCTCTTCTTGGATGGACCTCAGAAGTCAAAGGCTCGGTTACATTGTGGAATCCAAGCTGAATTTTTCATTATTATGGCAGCAGAAGCCTAGCACAGCTATTCCTGTGCAGAATGGTATTAAAACCTTGTGATCTCTGCATGTAAATACTGCAGATTGCAAGGCTGCCACCCTGCCACTGCCAATTCCTGCTCTGGTCCTTAACTGGGATGTTTTTCTGGGCACTGGCACTACACCAGCACAGCAAATGGTTTGTTCAGTGCCTCCCCAATTTCAGTTTCAAGGTTGTGTCAGTCCTCCACAAAGAAGTGCTTTTTGCTCAGGGTACTCACCAGCTGCTCTACACCATGCACCAGAATCTGAGAGATTTTTAAAACAAATTTAGGCAACTTTGGACAAGGTGTAAAAGACACTGCTGTGAAAACCAAGCTTCCACCTGGAACTTTTTCAGTGTTTAACCTTCAGTGTCTTCTCCTTTCCTAGAAGAGTGTGCACACCTCTGCCACCACTACACCAGCGCAGCAAAAGGTTTGTTCAGTGTCTCCACAATTTGGGTTTCCAGGTTGTGTCAAAGTCCTCCTCAAGGAAGGGCTTTTTGCTCAGGGTACTCATCAGCTGCTCTACACCATGCACCAGAATCTGAAACAGCCTTCTGAAGTTTTTTTTAAACAGATTTAGGCAATTCTGGACAAGGTGTAAAGTCACTGCTGTGAAAACCAAGCTTCTACCTGGAACTTCTTCAGTGTTTAACCTTCAGAGAATTCTCCTTTTTGCCACCACTTCCCACCTCCATGCACAAGCACAGAGTGCAGGGGGTTGCAGAAACCAGTTCTTACATGAGTTCAAAACAGGAAAAATGCCCAGAAAGCATCTCCACAGAGGTTTCTGAGATGTGTGGATGTCACACCCTGCTGGAAGGGGGCAGAACTGTGACCCCCGGCTGCTCTGAGCCCCCTTGCACAGGCAGGTGTTGGGTTAGGCAGGACTTTGGCAGGCCTGGTTTTGACTTTGTCAGAAAACCTGTCAGCATGCATATTAACTCAGGAGAAAAATTATTAACAAGGTTTTACAGCAGTGTTCCCAACTGAGCTTCCAGCTGGCATGTGAAACATGAAAGTACAGGATTGACTGGGTGGGGAAAAGCTCCAGATCACTTAGAACATAAAAACCACACACCAATTCCATGGCAGCTGCTCTCAGGCTGCTCATGGGCAGCTTGCTTGCTTCAAGAACCATTTAACCACATGTGTTTCTTAAACTGATTCCAGAAAAATAAATAAAATTGAAAATAACACCTGTAGGAACCAAACGTGTCTGAATATCACGTGAAGATCTGAAAAGGGTAAGCACAAGAAAATTACACCCCAGTGATGTGGCTACAAAATCGAGCTGCATTAATATAACAGTAATAAATAAATATAATAGTAATTAATAAATATCATAAAGTCCATGTGGCACCCCACAGGGTCTTTGATCACGAGGTTTGGGGCTGTGGGAGAAGAAAAAGCAACTGGGTAAAGACAATTCCATGCTCAATGTGTCTCTGTACAGTTTATTTTACAGGAGATGAGATGAGCACTATGGTGTATATAAACTTGCAGAACAATATAGGAAAATACAGTTTAACCATATGAAATTGTTTTACAGTAAGACAGAAAAATTACATATAGGAAATGCCTTCAACACTGAAGGACAAGATCCACAGCTGACATCAAGTAGCTTCCACTGAACCCTGCCAGTTTATTCAAGCTGAAGATCTGCCCCTTAAATCTTTTCTTCATTCAACTTAAGTTCAGTAAGTGATTCCTTCATCTATCCTTAGGGAACAAAAGCCATCCTAGAATTTCCACAATGATCCAAGATTTACTAGTAACCCAGACAGAGGCTGTGTGATAAATAAACTATTTACGGGGTCTAGTCAGCCAAAATTTATGGGAGGTTATAAAATTTTGGTTAAGCATCTGTAAAAACAAGTCATTAGTACTGGCAAAAGACAACTTTCCTAGAAATTTAGAAGTATTTAGGAAAAATCTTACACAAAAAGGACCAAATAAGCAACTTAATTTTGGTAGAAAACTGGTTAAGTGTATGACTGGTATCTGTGAATCCCTGCTGCTACAGCATCTGCAGAACTGCCCAGGGGAATTCTCACTGCTTGTGTTGCAGAAAACAAGGGAATTACCTAAGGAGGAGAAAGAATTTTTGTCCAACACTAATACCTGCTGTTTTCCTACTGGATAGAGGCTGCTGTCCCTAAAGAGTGTTTTTGATCTAAAAGAATATGGACATCCAAATTCCTTAGGCAATTCTGATAATCTCAGCCATTTCATCAAAAACCTCCAAAGGAAAAAGGGATTTCAGGTCAACCATTGCCAAATTCTGGGATTAACATGACTTTGATTATTTTGTTAGCAGATGTGAGATCCCTGAAATCACATTCAGCTTTTGAGTTCCAGGACTAGAACATTCCTTCTCTGCTGTAAAAAAAAAAAAGTTGTGGGCTTTAAAAATTATTATAATTAATTTTATGCAATAAAGTTTAACATCTCTATTATGCAAAATCATCACTGCATACTATTTTTATGCAGAATTCCCTGCTTATTCTACTGAGACCATGGGTCCAAAGATTAGTTTCAATGCAGTTGCTTTTAAATTCTAATTTTTTCTATTCCATTTTTAGCATTGAGAACTTAGGGTGCCTGAGCTGGACAGCAAATTCCCAGAGCCAAAGGCAGCTCTCCTGGAGATGGGGCTGTCCTAAAAGGGTGCACAGTTCAGAGCAAGGAAAGGGCTGAGAATCCTGCACGGATCTGTGCACTGTGGCTGCTCCTGAGATCTGGAATTTGTAGGGTAAATCTGTATTTTTCACATGCTTGTCGCAGATACTATTTAAAGAGGCACTTGAAGGGGATTTACTAGCAGAATTTTAATAGGGTTGTGATACAAGCCATTACTCAGTTACTTGTTAAATCAGTAGCCCTAAAAGACTGCATATATTCACAATTATAGTCCTGTCCACTCCCTGAACCTGGAAAGCTTTTATTCTGAATATCCACTGAGTTTGTCTCTTATGACACACCTGAAATAGTTCAACTTAATGTAAGTTAAGGGAATTAAATTTGCATGTCTCAAATCTATATGTTTTTTTAATGTGATTATTATGTGGTTAATCTAAGATTTTTTTATTGGTCTATGAAAGATTTTATCCATGTATAATTCTTAGACTCAGATGCATCATTAGGCACAAAAGGTTTCTGCCTTGAGGAATGCATGGGGTTAGAAATTTAAGTTGAATTGTGCTATGTGTTGGTCCCTTCAGAAAAAAAAAAAAAACATTCAGGAAGGAAAAAGAAGCTGCAGCTAGCACAAGAAGAAGTTATTACACTTCCAAACCTGCTGACTGATTAAAAAATTCCAAAATAAAACCCAAAATAACCTCTCCAAAAAAGCTCTCAAAACTCTCAGAAAACAGCCAAAAGCATGAAGTTTGGTTAGCACATAGAAATAACAGATATGTTCTATGAAATTTCAAAATTAAAGGTGTTGCACTTCACTGATGAAGGGCTACAGTAACAACACAGAGGGGAAAATAAAGAGCTGAATGATGCACCACTCATATGAATAAAATCTATTTTAAGACAAAGCAGTGGGTGTTATCCTTCCAACAGTGTTCTCAGGAAAAGACAAGGATTTGCTGCCAGGAAAGACTTCATTCCCACTGTGCCTCATCAACAGGGCCGTGTGCTCCAGGCTGCTGAAGCACAGCAGGCTCAGCACACCTGACCTGGGGCAGCCGGAACAGAGCCCTTCCCCATTCCCCAGGGCAGCACTGGCACCTGCTGGCCTGGCATGGTGTGAGCTGGACAGCTCTGAGCAGCCACAGACACTGATCTGCCAGTGCTGGGCAGGACTGGACAATGACGGGCTCCTCACTCATCACTGCTCAGTGCCCATCAGGCTCTGAGAAATGCCACTGAGGTACCCATCTTCCTGCCCTATGTATCTGCTTTAATCTGAATTTATCATCATCACTCAGTGCCCATTCAGGGTCTGAGAGAGATGCCACTGAGGTACCCATCCTCCTGCCCTATGTATCTGTTTTAATCTGAATTTATCGTCATCACTCAGTGCCCATCAGGGTCTGAGAGAGATGCCACTGAGGTACCCATCCTCCTGCCCTGTGTTTCTGCTTTAATCTGAATTTATCGTCATCACTGCTCAGTGCCCATCAGGGTCTGAGAGATGCCACTGAGGTAACCATTTCCTGCTCTAATCTGAATTTATCTGTGGCTCCTGCCCACCTGGTTCAGACAGATGAGACCAGCAGGCTCCTCTGGTCTGTGGCTGTTCCCCATCCCTGGGAGAAGATGGCAGCAATGTCCACACAGCAGCAACTCCCCAGAGCCAATGCTCCAGCAACCTCTGCCCCAGCACTCTGCTATTTCAACACACACTGGGGAGCAAACAGCCTGCAGGCTTCCCAGAGAGGGCTGTGAACTGAAAAGCTCATTATTTTGAAAACTGCCTTTTTGACACTGCCTTTTGAAGATGTAATTGTCAGGGTGAGCAGGACTGCCCTCAGGACACTGCTCCATCTCTGGGAGCAGACCCAGCAGGCTGCACTAGTGGACAGAGCACAGGAGATACTGTGGAACACTAAATCTGCTTTCAGTTCAGAAGGAAACATCCAATAACCACATCAAGAAGCCACATCTACTCATTCCAGGGGGACCTTCAAAGTGCTTGTCTGGATTTCTTAAGGTGCTTGGTAGTGAAGGACCCACCTGGGTAAGCAGTGCCCTTTCTGTCCCTGTGTGTGATGAAGAAATGGATGGGCAGAGCCACTTGGTCACTGAATTATGGATTTGAGCTTTTACAGCTGATCATCTGTGGGTCCAGACCCCAGAGGTGTGTTATGCCTGCAGCCCCACACAAAAACACTACAGCAGCTGCACAGAGAGCAGCTACACGTTAATTATTTCTCATTTCTTATTATTTACTTTATCCATGTACTTGAGTATAAGTAAGGAAAAAAGAGGCTTGTGCATTTCTGTTTGTTAGCCTGATTTTCAAAGAGTCTTACCTCTTAGCTCCCTGCTGTATTCCAAGAAATCTCTGAGTGCTGAGCACTTCCAAAGAACAGGTGAAGAATGCCCAGTTCTAAATACGAAGCCTAACTTGCAGTCAATATTAAATAATGACTTTAAAAACAAGGACAATTCCAGGAAGTTCTAACAAAGCCTGAGAAACTACAACTGCTACAAGCATAAAGAAATTTCCTGTGAATGCCCCACAGAAAATTCCTATTAGGGGAAAAGAAAAAACCCCAATCCAAGCAAAATTAAAAAAAAAAAAAGCTGCATAAAGGGAAAAAGAAGCAGTGCACAAGGTTGCATGCTGCCTGTCAGGCACTCAAGAAGTGTGATTTCAGTGTTTATCTGTGCAATAAGGGGAAGCACAGCTGCCCCCCAGCAGCTCAGAAGTGACTGCACAGGGGGAAAGGGAGTCTAGAAACATAAGAGGGAATTCTGTGTGATTTTCACTGCCGTTACAGTATTTTAAAATTAAAAAAAAAAAAATTAAAGCTATCTTCTACAATTCCAGTGTCCAATAATGAACTAACGTCCCTATAAGGGAGCAACCAAAGTCTTTTAGAAGATGTCCAACCCATAGAAGTGATGAACAGGTGTGAGTTACAGAGATGACAACCTGGAGCAGGTTGGCAAACTGAGAATTAGGCCTTTTTGGGATATTGCTCCAAGAAAGAAACTGGAATCTTGCTGCTAATGGGAGAAGAGTGCATTTGGCCCATGTGGTAAAATACTCACTGCTCTCAGCTCATCAACTCCAGCAGGAATCGGCCAACAGCACTGGATCCAGAATGAGTTCTGGCAGGAAAAAAGCTGAAAGAATACCTTAGGGAGAAAGATGTTCAACTGTGCTTGGGAGACACAGGCAGGAGGGTCTGGATGATGAATAAAAAGTTCTTATTCAGTATGGGAGCTGAGGGTACAGCTGGGAATGCACCTCACCAGCTCTGGCACTGATCTGAAGCCATGGGGTTCAGGAAGCCCAGAGAAGGGCCAAAAGGCTCTGGCTGAAAGGGAAAATGCCAGAGAACCCTCCAGCACAGACAAGAGTGTGACAGCATCACTCAGACCAAGAGGGAGCTCACAGATGTGGCAGCACTCCCAAAACATGGGTGGCCTAACAGATCTGGGCAGGCAGAGCTACCTGCTAAGGACCAGAGGGAAATTCCCCTTTTCCACCTCTGGCAGTGAAAGCAAACAGTGCTAGCTGAGAGCTGTGACCTCAGAGCATGCAGAGATGTGAGACACCTCTGCCAATCTGATCCCCACAGTGACTCAACCAGCCAAAGCTCACACCAGGAGTGTGAGGTGCCAGCTGAAGTGAGATGATGCCCAAGCTCAGTGCTGGAGGTAAGAGGCTTCCTTTGGCATTCCATTGCTCAGCTACACTGCAGCAGAATCATGCAGCATCCACACATGCTGGAATTCTAATAAAACACTGAGTTTGCTCTGGAGAAACAGCTGTTTAGGATGAGCATGAAGACAGACTGGGCTCCACTGCATTTTTGAAACTCAGTAGAAGACAGAGCAATGCTGAAACTCCCGAAGTTCCCTGTGAGAGCAGGAACCCATGCTCTCCTTTCAATGTGTCACTACCCTCTTTGAGGATGCTGCCTGCTAGAAGCAAGGGAACTCCAGCATGCCCTGACCTGGAAGGCATCACTGTCCAAAATCCATCAGTGAGAAAACGGAACGGGCCAGGGAACTCTGATCTGCAGGGTCACATCAAGAGGGAATATTGTATTCTGAATTAAATGAGCTGAAAAATGTTTACAAGCAACAGCAAAACTTGCTCTGAACAGAGATGGGAGTGTTGTGGGTGAAGCATCTCACCTGTAGAGCAGAACCCAGAGTCTCCTGGAGCTGGGAATGATCAACAGCCAGGTACCTGTGCTGTCCTGTGCTCATGGAAGTGAAAAAGAGATACAGACTCCACCAAGAGAATTGCTGTTCTGGGCAGCTCACATCCCTTAAACATTTCAAATGGACCAAGAACCAGAAGAAGGAAAACTGTCTGGAAATAAAACCATAAAACCAAAAGGGAAAAAAAAACCCAAAACCACCCCCCCCCAAAAAAAAAAAAAAAACCCAACCCAACCAACCAAGAACAACAAACCCTCCAACTAAGAATTCAGAGCAGCATAAATACACCTTAGCAGAGGAACCAAAACACATTACAGTCCCCAGAGAAACCTGTGCTAATGGACAGCATTTCCAGTCCAAAAGAGGTAAAGTAACAAACATCTTTAAAGAAAGAGGAAAAATAAAGTGTAATTTCTAACTTATTTCAGGTATTTATTAAGGAGAATACTGTATAAAGTGCACAACTAGCTTTGTTTTGCAATCCAAACAAGAATGTACTGAGGCATTGTCAAGATTGCTCATTTCAATTTACAATACAGCCAAGAACAGGGGGAAACCTGAAATGCAGCTTTCATGTATTCACATTATTTTGGCCACTGAAGTTTTCAAAGTTCAACCTGCACTTGTGGCCTAACAAACAAAAAAGTGCCTGTCCTCTGAAGTGCAAGGTAAGAGTTAGAAGCACACACTGATATGGCCAAAAATTAGTAAGACAGAGAGTGAATCAGCAGAAACTGAAAAGGAGAGATCATCAATTGCCCTACTTGAGGGAAAAAGGGAAGGAGAAGATGATTCCAGGGAGGACACTCAGCAAACCAAACCCTTCAGCTGGTGCTGCAGTGCTCTGTGCAGGAGCTTAGGAGAGGCTCACAGCACACTGAGCTCTGCCAACACCAAGAATAAAACTGGAGTCCAAATTCCCAAATGTGCAGGGGAAGAGCAGCACAGAAATGTCACACCAGGAGCAGTGACCCTGAGCATGCAGCAGCCATGGCACTCCCACTGCCAATGTGCAAAGGATGCTGAGGGTTTGGAAAGGCTGATGAGGCAGCAGAGGATGGGTTGTGAAGGAATTTGCAAGACAGGAATGAACCTGTACTAGTAAAGAGGTCAACAGAAAAATGCAATAATAATATAGAAATAATAAACCAGAAAAATAACCACTGCAGCAATGTTACAAACATGCTCCAGGTAAGACTTCTGTGTCTCAGTTTGTATTTGTAAAGAGGAATACTGACTCCCAATGATCCAATCCCAGCATTTGGAGGATGGTGAACAAAAATTTGGAATAGCAGTAGAACAAAAGAAGGATGCAGTTCTGGGGAGAAAAAGACAGTAACAGTGAGATAAAATGGGGCAAAAGTGGGGATCAAATGAAATAGTGTGGTTTGGGATATTGTAGCTAAGACCACAGTAAACACTGAGTAAAGGCCACAGTGGTGAGAATCAAGATTTCTCCTGGATCTAAAGCAAGAATCTGAAGAATCTTTGCATTGTATGAAATGCTGAAAAAATATATTAACAGCAACACTGAATACTCCATCAGAAATAACAGCAGAAGAAAATAAATACCTTTTCAAAACCAGTCTCCAAACTACATAACACTATTTGCTAAGAGCTGTGTTGAATTTTTGGTGGTTTGCAGTTAAGGGTAACAGAAAAAAACTCAGATGGTACAGAAGTGCTGGGCACCTACATCTACACTGAATGCAATCTAGCATCACATATTCATGGCACCTTTGAAAATCAGGCTCCAAAAAGATAAAAGCCAAAATTTAATGGGACAAACCCAGTAATTAAAAATACCTAAAGTTGGTGATATTCACCTGAAGAAACCAACAAAGGAAATTTAAACCTGAATCCCAAGTAAACTATTAGAGGACTGTTTTTAAGGAGATTCTGTGGAAAAACACCTTGCATGAGCAGGAAAAATTTTAAACATCTCATTTATTCCTTGGAATACGACCTCCTTCTGTCATTGAGGGCACTCTGACAGCTAATGAGGTAGGTATAGTACAACCAAGTCTTTCCTGATTAAAAACTGTGATGGTAACACTTTCAAACTTACCAACTGGCCGACAACAGAAATTGTGAAAATGGGTTTATGTATCCCTGAGAGGGAGTATCAAACAGGAAGAACAGGAATCCTCTCCACAGATTTTGGGAGAAGGGCCATCACTTCACTGCCATGGTGAAAGACTGTTCTATGAAAGCAATGCATCCACACAACATTGCTGCAGGACCCACAGATTTTATAAATGGGGGAGCCAGGAAAGTGAATTGATTTGCCTATGGCCATGGGAGCAGTCAGTGACAGACCTGGGATTGGTGATCAGGACTTCCTTGCCTCCTGCATCATATTCAGTTATCTCCCTGCTGGCCAGAGGCTCTCTGCCTGCTGTTCTAACATACTGGATAGAGATAGTCATGCAAGGGGTGGAGCACAAAGTCACTGGAGAACAGGGCACGTTCTGTGCCAGGAAGCAGATTTCTCCTGGAAGCTGCGTGCAATTGGGAACCTCTGGTGGGAAGCACACATCTGATTTTTTTCACCCTGGAATGTCTGGTGCTTAAGGCTTAGCACAACGAGGACCATTGTAATGACTAAATGGAACAGAGATAGCCCATACAGGCATAAATTACAAGGTGTCTGTCTGGTAGTGAAACAACCTTTTCCCTATGCTCTTTTGACCCTTAAAACAAACGTTAGCCTGCTTAATTCAGTGGACTCATCACATCCAACCACAGATCAGTCTATATTTCCATGTCCACAGGTCGGATATCTCCAGTTTTGTGTTCTTTTACCCACAGTTCCCTGTCTTTGGCAGGATCCACTTTCCGAAGCAACTGATCCACGAGTTCTACTGTCTGAAATGAAGAAAACAAGAATCCAAATGTCAAGGGCACACTTCAGGCAGAGAGTCATTGCTCTGACATGCAGAGCAGCTGTGGGCATGCCTACACTGCATCTGCAGACAAGTGAGAGCTGCACGTACACGAGACTGGATGGACAAGACAGGTTTGGACGTGCAGCCTTGTGAGAGGGAGACTTGAAGAAGCAGAGACAGGTTTCCTGTGCCAGGCAGCAGCCAGGCAGCCTCTGACTCCTGTTCTGCACCTTACACCAAACACAACTGTACTGAGACAGCGTGCATCCCCCATACTTTAATATTTGATAAATAGCCAGTTTTCAATAAGGAAAAAATACATATATACTCCTTTTTCCAACAGTAAAACAATTCAGCATCTTCCCTGCACAAACAGAAGACCTCATGGAGTAGTGCATCATGCTGGGAGAGCTGATAATGGCTCATGCTGGCCAAATGTACCGGAGCTGGTTGTGTCTCCCTCAGGAAAGAGCTGCATGAAATGTGATCAGAGAGCCCAGGACTGCGGGGAGGCAGCACAGCACTGCTGCAGACACCTCCCCCACATCCTCTGACAAAAGCCACTCAGAGCAGGCCAGGAGGGGCCGTTCAGCTCAGCTGGAGGGCAGCGAAGGGCACAGAGAGCAAACAAAAGCACACTTACACTTTGGTTGAACATGTCTGTCTCGTGCCGCAGCTGTGTGTACTGGCACAGATGCTGCCGAATCATCTCCACCCTTTCGACTTCTAGTCTCTCAAGCTCCTGGACATGAAGAAAAACAAGTCCATATTTTTACTGGAACCTGAGCTCGGAGGCCCAGAGAAAGGAGGACACACAAAAGGCTGCCAGGAGGTGCCATACTGCCCCAGGGTCATGCTTTGGAGCTGGACTCTGTGGTTGCACATTCCTCTGCTCTGCAAAGAATAAGAAACAGCAAGCAACAGCAGTCATCTCAGCCTAGCAACAGAAAAGAAGGTCAAACCTTTCCAAAAGGCTCCAAAACTGAGACAACCAAGGCAGAGAGTGGAGGCACTGCCTTCAGAGATGCTGCAAGCAAGAGGGAATCTATTTCCTGCAGGAAGTTTTGTGTGCTTTATTGCTAGCTACAGAAATTCCAGTGATTCCCTGGGGCAGCAGAAAGCACACTGGGGAGATGGCTCAGAACACCCCCATTCCAACCAGACACCTGTCAGAGCACAGCTCACCAGATGCTGAGCTGGGACAAGCTTCCACCTTGCTCAGCTGGCAGTAAGCAGAACCCAGCAACACTTAAGTTGGAAATTCAGGCGATTTCTGTCTTTTCTCCTGACATTTCCTGCCTCCCTCTTCTTCTGAATTCTGATATTATACCCCAAAATCTGCATTTAGTCCTTCTGGACTGAATACACTGAGCACTATATGCGGTTGTGGGCATGAAAATATATTAAAAAAAAAGACCTTAAGCTGTTAAGTGTCCAAAGCAGGGCCACAAAGACAAAAAAGGGTCTGAAAGGCCCTTAGGGAAGGCTCTGGTGAGATCCCACCTGGAGCCAGCTCTGGGCTTGGCAGCACAAGAAGGATGTGCAGCTTCTGGGTTAGGTCCAGAGGAAGCCAAAGGGATGCTCCAAGGCAGCTTGCAGCAAGCCAGGCTGAGACAAGTGAGGCTGTTAACTCTGCAGAAGAGATGGCTCTGGGGAGACTTCAAAGAAAATTGTGAAATTGTGGAACAGAAAAATTCATGAATGTATAAATGGATTTGGTGATTTATCATGTGTTTTTCTGTGTTTTCCCTGTGCATTACTTCATCCTTCTCAAGGACAATTTGAGTGTTCTGGCCCCTAAGCAGCCCTGAGCTGGTTTAATGCCTTCTGCAAAGAAACAATTATTTCTTCTTTCCCCTACTGATGAGCTTTTCTTAGGACTGAGAGTGGGACAAACAATGTGAGATTTATCACCCCATTTTCCCCAGAGCTTTGCACTGAACTAGCTGTGAATGATGAATACTGGAGGCTATGACAATTCTGCAAGGGTAGCTTTAGATGTTACACACCAGAGTGGTGGTCACCATCTCCTCAAACCACTTGGACTGGGCTTGATTGTAAAGATCCACACAGCGCATCAGGTCATCCCCTGAAAGAGAAGAGACAACAACACATCAGTCTGGTCCAGCCAGAGCTTAGAAAGAAAGTGCAGGTCAGGTTTTGTAGACCTCAAGGGTTTGAAGATGAATCATGGTGGAGCTCAGAGGAGTTCTGCTACATGGACCAACATTTCAACTAAATGCATGCACCTGATGTATGGCAAGAAAGCAGGTGACTAGGGAGAGAATTAACAGATTTTGAAAGAAAAATATAAGTATTAAGAGTAGCATTTTACAAAGTGCCCAGAAATATTAAAAAAATGCAAGTTACTTCAGTTAAAAAAAAGCTATAGATGGGAAGCTGTATTTGAAAACTAAAGTAATTAAAATGGGAAATTGGCAATGGTGAGTTATGGAACTGCAGGGCAGCTCTGTGTAGGTGAGACTGCAGTCTAAGGGGTCTCTGTCTCAAAGCAGAGGGATGCAGCAGGCCCCAGCTGTTGGATGAAGGGGTGCTGATTTGCAGCCTCATGCATTCTCCAGCCTCTGCAGATGCCCAATTCCAGCTGAGCTCCAGCTCCTGTGATCAGGGCAATAACAGCAGAAGTTGCAGTTCTTTCCATTGTTTTCTTTGTTACAAGACTCTGCACTGATGAAGGGGGAAACACAGGCGGCAAATTTGGAAAACAATTTTCAGGGATTGCTGCTTTGCAGCTAGGAAATTCTCTTTGTTTCTTAAATGAGGCTCAATCTCTCTTACCCTCTCTGATCTTCAGCTCCTCCTTGCTTGTTCAATAAAAATTGATTATAAACAATTTCTAAGGACCCAAGGAACAAAGAGAGACTGTGAATTTTCAGGTGATAAACAACATCTCTTACAGAACCTCCGGTTGTTAAATCATAACTTTTCTTTCCCCTCAAATGATTGCCTGTAGACACGGCCACACTCCCAGGAACTCTTCCCAGACTCCTATCCTGAAGTTTTAAAATCCTCGGAACTCTGAAGGACCACTCTGCCAAGGAACAGCCTTTGTTGGAGGGATGAAACATGGAAGGCCTAGCTAAAACTTATTTTCAGCCAAGGTACTGAGCTGCATGTATCAGCTCTGCAGATCTCAAAAAAGTTCCTGATGGATCCTGCAGATGTGGCTTGAGCCTCTGCAAAACATGCACAGGTCACAGCAACTGGCTGTATCCTCAGTACAGGACAGCACACACTACTATATCCTCGGTATTCCCAGAAGAGATATTATTTTAGTCACTGAGTAGCAGAGGGGAAAAAACCGAAAAACATCACTTTCAAGGAAAAAGACAGTAATAGTAAGTGTAATAGGCACCCACCAAGTTGTGGGTGAGTGTGATTTAGGAATGAACCAAGGAAGGAACTGTGATTTATGGAAGAAACACCCTCAGCTAAGCTTCTCTGAATCTGACTTTGGAAGTTCACAAACACTCAGTAATCTAAGGACACCTTCATGAGACAGATAACTCACCCTACTTCTGCTGTTCTCACCTCAATTATCAATAATTTGTGACATCTGAGTCAGAAAAACTAGGCTTGTTTCTTCTGAGGATTTAACATCACACAGATCTGTAACATGGTTCACTTTGACTTTTGTAGCAATCACATTCTCTGAAAAAAATCCCTCTGCCCAGGATTTCTCTCCTGGGAAGCTGAGAAGCCTCAGAGAAAAGGAGAACAATTTTTATCTCATTTGCTTCTCTGGTGTTTTGCTCACATGTGGAATGTGTTTGGAGATTGTTCCATTGGATTCTGCTGTGAGTTGATTTCACTCTTTGGCCAATCAGAGCCAAGCTGTGTCCAGACTCTGGAAAGAGTCAGGAGTTTTCATTATTATCTTTTTAGCATTCTGTATGCATCCTTACTGTATTCTTTAGTATATTATAGCATTCTTTAATATAATATAGTATCATCAAGTAATAAATTATCCTTCTGAGACCATGGAGTGAGATTCATCATTCCTCCCTGCCATAGGGGGTCTCTGCAAGTACAACAGCCTTTGTTTTTACAACATTAAAACCAAGCACTACGTGGATGGATGGATGGATGGATGGATGGATGGATGGATGGATGGATGGATGGATGGATGGATGGATGGATGGAGTCCCCCTGGCTCTTGCTGCGTGCTGACAGACACAGGTACTCACCTGCCTGGGTGGACTTCCGTCTGGCCTTCTTGATTTCCTCTTCTGTCTTGTTGCTGAGTTTCACCTCTAGCTGCTGTGTTTTCATTTCCAGATCCTTCTGCCTCTCTGTCAAGGCTTTCCGGGCCTTGGAGGAATGAGGAAGAGTCAGAAGTTACAGAGAAGAAGATCTGGCAGTTGCTTTCAGCCACCTAGGACTCCTTCTCACAAGTGGTTCTCAGCAACTGTGCATGGAACTGGGTCCTAACAGGGATTCAGGCTCTTACAACACCATGGAGTTCACAAAAGTGTCCTGTGACCACAAAGGGGTCACCACCAACAAATCACAAATGCATCTGAACTCTTCAGAGTCTTAGAAAGGCAAAGGACTAATAGCATCATCAGGCTCTCCTGTTTCTTAATAGCTTTCTCATTATTTCTGGAAGAAAAGAGAGGGGGAGCTTCTTTCAAATGTCTTAAACAGCATCATTACCAGGACACCTCTTCCATTCACTTTTCTTAGGATCTGAATTGTTGAAGTAATTTCAAGTATCTTAGAAATTTTGTCTTTAAGTAAGTTTTGGTCTCAGTGTACATCCATCACAACTAACAACAGGAACCTAATTCAGAAAAACTTTCTCAGGTTCATGTCAGCAGTAGAAATCAAGAACCTGAGGCCTGGTTACAACTGATGCCTTGAACTACTTTACTTAGAAGTTCTTCAAGCTGTTAAAACCTGATATATCAGTACAAATATATATTATACATGTAAATTAGTAAAGTACCTTAACAAATAAACACTGTTACATGCAGGCTGATAAATAGACAAAAATCACTTGTTTTGCATGGATTTGTTATAAAACATGTCACATTTGTTCTTTATACTGTAGTAGTGTTTCAAACTAATTTGGATGACTGTATTTTCTTAGAACTTTGCAGTTTTTTTACAGTCACACATGCCTAAATGATACAGCTCTGCTGAAACATTCCTGGAATTTTTTCCATGTGCAGTTCTGAGGCCCTGGTGGGTCCTGCAGGTCTGGAGAGGGAGCTGCAGGAGAGCAATCTGTGAGGGCTGAGAGCTCCACAGGCACTGCAGTCACAGCTCTTCCTTCTTCCCAGGGTTATTCCTAATTCACTACTCCCAATGTTGCTACTGAGTTGCTTTGCAGATAGGAGTGTGAAGAACTTGGTGTTCTGCAGAAAAATGCCTTCCTTGCAGACACTCAGCCTAAGGACCTTGTGTATCCTGCCACAGTTCTGTCCCTGGGGAACTCCTGCTGAGCTTTAATGAAAGCACAAACAGCTTTGGGGATGACTGGGAATGGTATTTCCCTCTCCAATTTACACCCAAAAGCAAACTCATGAGGATACAATTTGGCAGCTGAGGCATAAGCATCCCTAATTCTACCAGCTGCTGCTGGATGATCACATTTTGTGGGTCTAACTCCATGAACCACGACCTCAGCCACCTCCTGGCTGGTGTCACATCAGCCCATTACTGGCTGCTGCTGCTGCTGCTGTGTGGGTTTTTACAGTGAGGATGTTGCTTGTGAAGGGTTTGTGATTTGCCAGGCCAGGGTCTAGCTGCTTTTGGCCACTGAGCCAGGTGAGCCTCTGACCTGACCCTGCTGCCATTCTAAGGCAAGGTGCTCTACATTTTGAGGACAATAGATGCACACTAATAAGAAGTATTTGCATCAATTTTATTGCCCCAAGCTGGCAAGGGGAGGATGAACCAAAAAGACACTTCAGCAATGAGATGTTTGTCCCCCACTTCCCAGATCTCAGTTAAACACCAAACTATTTCTGGGGCTGGGCAAAGCACAGCAAACAGCTGTGGCATTCACATTCCCTGAACAGAGAGACATAATTCCCTCTCGCAGAGTTTTTCCCTGGAGAAGCACAGAGAGAAGAAGAGAAAAACAATTCTTATCTCTACTTGCTGCTCCTGTTGTTTTGCCCATGTAGAATGTGTTAGGAAGATTGTTTACCTGAAGTGATTTGTCAATTGGATTCTGCTGAGGTTTGTTTTGTTTCCTTGGCCAATGACTCAAAGCTGTGTCCTAGCTTTCTCAGACAGGAGTTTTCTTTAGTATCTTTTAGTATTCTTTAGTATTCTTTGTAGTATACAAAGAATACTAAAGAATACTAAGAGATACTACAGTAGTATTGTAGTATACAAAGAATACTAAAGAATAGTAGTCTTTTAAAGAATAGTAAGAATTGTAATCTTCAATATAGTATAGTATAATGTAATATAATATAGTTTAATAAAGCAATTATTCAGCCTTCTGAATCAATAGAGTCAGATATCAATCATTCCCTGCACCAGGGGCACCGTAATTTCAATAAACAGTGAGAGCTCTCAGCAGGAACAGCTGTGACAGAGCTGAAGCTCTCCAAGGGGCAGCTGCTCTGCTCAAAGCAGCAGTTTGGTGTGTCTCAAAGCCTGCAGGCTGCTCCTGCTCCCACCTTCTCCACAGCCGTGTAGCGACTGGCCAAGTGCTTCCGCAAGTCCGCGATGTGGTGGTCGCACTTCTTCATGTCCTTCTTGAAGTTCTCTCTGAAGTTCAGCAGGGGCTTCTCCACCTCACTCTGGAGCTGGAAATGAAAATAAAGGAAGAACTGAGTAGCCAGACAGCAATTCCTGGCTCTGCACAGAACCACAGAATCGTTAAGCTGGAAAAAACCTCCAAGATCATCAAGTTGACCCATCGTCAACCCAGGTGTGGCATTCACATTCTCTGCAATAATCACTTTGCCCAGGATTTTTCTCCTGGGAAGCTGAAAAGCCTCAGAGAAAAGGAAAACAATTCTTATCTCTTATTTGCTTCTCCTGTGTTTTGCTCATGTGGAATGTGTCTGGAGAGTGTTTATCCAACAGGTGATTGTATCATTGGATTCTGCTGTGAGTAGTTTTGATTCATTGGCCAATCAGGGTCAAACTGTGTCAAGACTCTGCAAAGAGTCACAAGCTTTTATGATTATTATTATTATCATCATAATTATTATTATTTCATTATTTTTATTATTATTTTCATTTTTTTTTTAGCATTTAGTATGTACCCTTTCTGTATCCTTTAGTATAGTTAGTATAGCATTCTTTAATATAATATAGTATCATAAAGTAATAAATTAGCCTTCTGAGAACACAGAGTCAGATTCATCATTCCTGCCCTCATCAGGCATTTCCTGGCAAATACAATACCCAGGGCTGCCAGGTCCACCATTAAACCTTGCCCCTAAAGTGCCATATCCACATTGTTGTTTGCACACAAACAGTGGGAAGGATTTGGAGGATGCTACAGGAGTTTCTGTGCAGAGTTTAAGAAGTAAAATAATGGAAAAGCCCCTCTCAACCTGGCCTGCCTACACACACACACATCACTCCAAGGTGCATTTCTTCCTTTTGGAAAACAATTCAGGAGGACAATGGGGAGCAAAAAGTGTTTCACTAATTACAGCCCTGATGTCGAAGTTTAAGGCAGAGCAGTGGGTTACCAAGGCAGCAGCTGGTTGCCTGAGTAACCTCTGCTGAATTGCTTACAAATGGTGCAGAGCTATAATTTTCCTCCAGAACATGGCTGTGGTGCTGAGATATCTGCCACTGAATTGAACTTGAACACCCACAGAGGTTAACAGAATGCAACAGGATTCAAGAGCATGTCACATGTGGTGGAAAAAGCCCAGATAAATACCATAATTTGTAAAAGAAATCTCCTTGGGCATCACTTGAGATAAAACCCCAAAATAACGTGATGCTCCCAGCAGACTTTTGAGAAAGGCTAATGGTACAAAAAAAAGCCAGAATTCTGGTTCTCTTCCTTTCTGACAGGTAGAGTAGATTCTTGTTGAGAAGCCAAATATTGCTTTTCATTTCTTCCTTTGCAGAAGTGAATTGTACAAGTACTAGTTCAATTTACTGCTGGAACACAGAGTCCAGGTGAACAACATCTAAAATCAGTTTTACTTTTTAGATGTGTTTTGATTTACTCAGCAGGCAGACTAAACTGATTTTGGGAGGAAGATTGGACAGAGTTTCTGCAAGTTTGTTCACCAACTTATTAATTCTCCTAAAATTGTACCACACGCCTGTGTATTTCCCCCACTAACATGCACTGAAGGGAGAGGCCCACCAATACAGGGAAACATATTTGGAAAAGAAAGAACCATTTATTTACCTTAGAAGAAAATTTGAGATGAACCTCTGCTTCATCAGCTAAACTCTTCTTGAGCTGAGCCCAAGCTTCTCCCAGCGTGCTGAAGGAAGAGCAGGACAATGATCAGTCCCTTCCCCACCTCTCCTTTTGGATCTGTCAGGGAAATCTGGCACGACACTTTGTACCATATCTTGATCAGCAAAACCATAGAAAAGGGTAATAGAAATCTGAGAAAACGCCCAACCTTTGTGACCAAGGCAGAATTGTGTTAGCATTGTTTGCAGCAGATCTTTGCAAACCCAGTTCATGACAATCTCCATTGACAGAGACACCAGAGCCTCCCTAAGCAAGACCCTTCAGCATCTCATCTTCACCATAACAAAGTTTCCACCAATGCAGTTTTTTCTACCTCTTCTACTTTACACCCTACTTCAGAAAGCAGATTTTCACTTCAGGTGAAAAGTCGTGGAAAAGCTTTTCAGCACTTGAAAATTTCTCTGTTGTCTTTTTCTTTCAGATTATTTCCAGGACAGCGGCAGCTGAGGCAAACTCCTCCAGATCCTTTACAACAGCCCAGACTGCTCCTAAAGCACCATAACCAAAACTACACTGTCCCCAGTACAGTGCAACTCCAGGGGCTAAACTGGTAACAGATTATTTTGTATCAGACACTCTTTCTTCTACATATTTCAATGTGATTGCCTTTTTAGACAACAGCATGAAGTTGTTGATGAATAAGCTTGTGATTCACTATAGCCAGATCCTTCTCCCACAAAGTGTTATGTAACTGTATCTTTCACATCCTGTAAAAGTATAAAACCCGCTGCTTTGTCCTCATTAAAATGCATCTTAGTTTTTTTTTTTCAGTTAATTTCTCAATTTTAACACAAGAATTCTGAATTGCAACCTTTTGCTCAAGTTACACATACCAACCCTCCTAGCTCTGTCACATCTCTGGATACAGTAAATCCATAATTTCTTCTATTACAGGTTGTTCATTACAAAAACATTTTAAAACGCCCTGGACTTAGGACAAACCCTTTGGGATGTCATTCCTCAGCTACTTTCTGCAGTTTAGTTTCTGTAAGCAGTGGGTTTTTCCTACCTAGTTTTTTGCACATTAAGCTTTATTTAGGCCACCATTTCTCTTGTCTGCCTACGAGAATCTCCCATCACAAAAAGCAACACTAAATAAAGAGCTGTGAGGCTTGACCTACTCTTTTACTCCATCACTGAAGGAATTTAGGTTGGCTTGGCATGGCTCTTTATGCATATACAACAATTGCATCTAATTTTTCCCCTAAGTGGAAGTTTGATGGTTTACTCCACCACTTTGCACAGGTTAAATAAAGATGAATGATCTACAATTCCTGGCTCCTTCTATCTCTTCCCTATCCCCTTTTCAAGGATAATGAGATTTGACTGTTCCTGATAGCCTGAAAAATCACCTGTCACCTGCAATCTCAAACTAATGATCTGTCACCTCTGATGCTGCTGCAAGGCCTTGAGTCCTCAAATGTGGTGTTCATCAGTTAAACAACTTAGACACACCTACAGAATATTCCTCCTTCCCTGAGGTCCTCTCCCACTGCCCATTTCCCATTGTTATCTGATCCAGGGAGAGCATCACTGGACAGTGCTCTCAGCTCCATGTCCTTTCCAGCTTTCTACTTCAACATTTCTTAGGCTTGAGTGTTCATTCCCTCTCTTTTCACCTACTTTGTTTCCTTCCCTTTCATTTTTTCTGTCATTCCCTCCTTTTCCCATTGGGGGTAGGAGAAAGTGGAAGGAAGATGTGGGACAAAATGGGTTTAGCTTTGCTAGATCAGCTGAGCATCCAGCCCTAAGGAGAAAGGAGGACAGAAACCATTCCCAGTGTAGGTGCTCAGGGCAGTAACAGCCCAGTTACCCTCTTGGAATTTCTGTCCTTGCCTCCTGGAAGCTGAGCAAAACACCTCATGCAGCTTCAGTGCCAAAGGTGAGGACAGTCATTTCCAGCTTGGCCTTCAGTGCTCAGAGGGTTTGTGGTGAAACACACAGAGCCACCAAGTTCTGATCCCTCAGCAGTGGCGCCTTTGCATTAATACTGAAAAACTGCAATTCAGGCTGAACTGCACTGCCTAATGTCTTCTTAATAACTTCCCAAGTGTGAAAACGTTGGAAATAAGCAGCAGTCTGCTGCTTTTCTTGAAGTGCCAGAACCCTGATGAGAAAAGACTTTTTTATCCTCCCTCTTGTCTGTGCTGCTCTGATTGTACCAGCATTGACCTTACACAGCTACTCTCAGTAGTGTGTATATATAGATATACATATATATTCTATATGTTCTTCCATTTTCAAAGTATTTTAGTACACATACATGCTAATCCTGGAAGGAACCAGTCCTGCCTACAACAAGGACAGCATATAAACCTGATTGGAAATGCAACATTTTATACACGTATTCCTAAAAAACTTCTCAGTAACAACCTAAAAAAAAAAAACCCAAACAAACAACTCTGAAGCAATTACATCTTCCCTAACATGCCCAGGGTGCTAATCTAAATAAACCTCTACTCAGAGGGAGAGAGCTGGGGAAAATTACTTGTACCTGTGTGGGAGAAATGCCTTTTATATTAAAATTCATCTTCTGTGAAATTCACAGAGACACACTTACCCTTCTTCCTGAGCAGCCAAGGAATTCTGAGACAGTTTGGACAGGTTCTTAGCATATTCCTCCTCAATCTTTATCCTACACTCACATACACACAGAGAGAAAATAAAAAGACAGCAGTAAGTAAGCTTTAAGGCAGAAACCCACACACATAATTTCAAGAAATTCTCTGCATTTTAACAGATTTTGCCACAGGAATTTTCCTTTCAGTTTCCAGGGCTTGGCAGCACTGGTTTGATGAGCAGTCTTCTCCCCCCATATGCTAAAAATGCAGAGGCAAGAGCAGGGCTATATGCAGGATGGCATGTGAGACAAAATTAGCTGAAGAAGCTCCAGTTCTGGAGAGCAAGTAACAAGGACAGAGTGTTTCTGCTCTGCTGTCTGCAAAACCAGGAGCACGTGCTTCAGTCTGCTGTGAAATGTGAGGCTGCACATCCTTGAGGCAAAAACGAACAGTGCAGCCACCCAGGAAAAACCCAGATGAGATTTGGGGGGATGAAGTGCACCTTCCTTGGGGACAGCAAATGCTTCCTGCCCTCTGTGATGGGTGACAATCGTGGCAGGGATGTGGCAGCAGCTTCGGGCACCAGCACATGGATGGTGCAGCCCCTTCCTCTCACTCACTGCCCTGTGCTGGTCTTCACCCACCTGGAGGCACCAGGACAGGAGCTGAGCTTGCCAGGGGCAAGGGAGCAGAGCAGGAAAGGTGTGACAGTGCTCACATGGGTCTGAGGATGGGGGAAGAGATGAGGATCTGACTTTGTGTTTCAGAAGGCTGATTTATTATTTTATGAGATATATTAAGACTATACTAAAAGAATAGAAGAAAGGATTTCATCAGAAGGCTAGCTAAGAATAGAAAAAGAAGGAATGATAACAAAAGCCTGTCTCAGACAGAGTCTCCGAGCCAGCTGACTGTGATTGGCCATTAATTAGAAACAACCACATGAGACCAATCACAGATGCACCTGTTGCATTCCACAGCAGCAGATAATCATGGTTTCCATTTTGTTCCTGAGGCTTCTCAGCTCCTCAGGAGGACAAATCCTAAGGAAAGGATTTTCATAGAATGTGTCTGTGACAGAAAGGTGCTGCCACACAGCCCCACAGGGAGGAATGGGCCACTGCTGGTGCAGAGGGATGGGAATCCTGCCTGGAACCCTCTCCTGCTGCCAGTGAAACAACTGCAAGGTGCCCATGCTCCCAGCCACAGCAAACACTTGTCTGTTCACTGGTTTTCAACCCAGCTTGCTCAACAGAACATTTCTGAGAGAACTGTGGGGTTCCCAGATAGAAAAACTCCTGATTCTGCGCCAGCTGTGCACAAAACCTGCTCTGAAGTATCTTTATTTGTCCATGCACACAGTCTCAGAAGGTGGGGTATTTCTGGCAGGCCCCTTTGCAGGAGCTGCTTCAGCAAGTGCCCTTTTGTAGGGCACATTTGAGATAAAAAGAAGTACTTTTTGTGCCCACACTCAAATAATTTCAGTCATGACATATTATGGTGGATGAAAAAAAACTAGAGAGCTGCAAAGGGAGGCGAAGATGATCTGATGTGACTGCCATGCAAGAAGGAACTAAATAGATTAAGACAACAGGGGGAACAGGGAGAAAAGGTGGTAGAGGATATCTGACAGACAGCTCCATAATTCCCACTAAGGGAAGACTGTGACTGAGTCTTTTTACACTGTTCCTCCAGATTAGGAGGGAACAATGGAATTATCAGACAACAGAAGCATAATTATTTTTCCTGTAGCACAGAGACTGCAGAAATCTTCCATAAATTGCTCAGACAAACAGTGAAAGGTGCATATATGGATCTGCTGAACATGGCAGAAATGAAATAATCTTTCTGTAACTTCCATCCAGACTCTGTTCACACTCAATTCCCAACATTTTCTTTTTGTTCCCAGCACACAGTGGGTCTTTTCCTTCCTCTGCTGAGGACAGCCATGCCTCCCCACAGTGTCAGAGCTGCTCTCCTTGCTCTCTCTAATTTCGCACCAACTTTCCTTTCCTCTTGAATGCTTCCTGCTTTTATTTCTGTCAAATTTCATTATATACTGCTTCCTTTGAAGAAGCTTCCCCCTCTTTTCCCTTGCTATTGTAATTCTGCTTGCCTTCTCATCCTCTCCCTTAGCATTCCTATTTCTCAATTGCACTTTTAATGTTCAGGTTGTTCTTTCTTCTACCTCTGGTAGAAGAAAGAACAACCTGCAACATTAAAAGGTTCCTTTTGTAGTATTTGTTCATTCCATTGGTCACACTCTAACTGCCTCTTGGATTATCTGATGTCAAAGACTACAGAAACCTCACGTGAGTGTATCTGCCACCATTATTGCCTGTGACACTTTGCATTTTCCCACTGCTGCCACATCCCTAGCATGAAAATAAAGGTGAGAGGGAGAAACAAAACAAATTATAAATGAAACTATCTGCAAGTTCTGCCCAACTGAACTGCACCCTGAGAAGGCTCTGGGGAGAGCTCAGAGCTTCTGACAGTGCTTAAAGGAGAGATGGAGAGAGACTGGGGACAAGGGATGGCTTCCACTGGTAGAGGAATATTGGGATATTGGGGATTGGGTGGGATATTGGGAATTGGGAATTGTTCTCTGTGAGGGTGGGCAGGCCCTGGCACAGGGTGCCCAGAGCAGCTGTGGCTGCCCCTGGATCCCTGGCAGTGCCCAAGGCCAGGCTGGATGGGACTGGGAGCCCCTGGGACAGTGGGAGGTGTCCCTGCACTTACAGATGGCAAGGGGCTGGAATGAGATGATCTTTAATGTCCCTGCCATCCCAAACCATCCTTTGGTTCTGTAACCAATCTCAAAGTGATGTTTTTTTTAAATCTTCCTCTAGGAAACTGTGCCTATGCTCCATGTGAACAAATTGCTTCTGTACTTTTCAGACAAAATATTTCCCTTTTAATCACCTCCACTCTGCTTCTCTCCTGTTTATGCTTTTTCCTTGAATCTGCAGCTTAAAACCTTCTTGGTTCCCTCTGACAGACAACCTTAGTGCAATACAGCTCAGACAAGTGAGAGCTGGAGAAGCCTGGAAAGTGTGGATGAACACTAAAGAAATATTAAATCTTCAGTAAGAACTTGCAGCAAACCTTTTATGCAGTTTAAGCCTTAACATATTTAAGGAATATCTAAATTGGGGAAAAAACAATTGCAATAAAGATTTAATTTGATAGCCAAGTGCTAATTACCTTTCTCGAACAAACTCTGCCATTTCTTTCTGCATTTGTTTCCCTTTAAGCTGCTTTTGAAGAAGAATTTCAAATCCCGACACTGTGTTGTTCCCTTGTGAGTCCTTCTTGTCTGCCTGAAAGAAATAAAAGGAAGTTCAGCAAAAACCTTTGGAGGCCAAACCCACAGAGATTTGGCTCCCAGCAGTGGTGCCTGAGGGATCCTGCCCTTGGAGCAGCTGTGGCTACAGCACCTCAGACCCTCTCAAAGAAATACCCCAACTTCCTTCTTGCTCATTTTTTTAGTTTAAAAAGGGAAGTTTTACAATTATCTGGAGCCAGAAAAGGATGCTGTGGGGGCCAAAGCAGCAGCCCTGCTGTCATTCCTGCCGAGCATCCCTCACAGCTGGGTAAGGTGAGCCCCAAGGGCTCAGCCTGCCCAATGCAGGAGCCCTGGAACAAGAGAACACTCCAGGGGCAGAGGGTAGGACGGGGCTGCTCCTTCCAGCCCTAAAACACCTTTAGCAGCCTGCCAACTGTGATTCTTACTGAGGAAAACCGAGCCAGTCTGCATAAATCTACTGTAAAACAAGGCAAACCCATCCCACAGATTGCCACCACACATCCCATTCCTCACTGCCTGTTTCTCACACAGCTCCTTGCTCCACTGGCTTCAAGAACCAACACAGTTTTCTCTCTGCTTCCCTATTTCATTTCTTTCCCTCTTCCAACACCCAAACTCTCAGAGAACATCTCCCCCAGTGCTGCTCTGATCCCCCACGTGCTGCACAAGCAGCCAGAGGAAAATGCCAGATTAATCAAGGCAGGAGACTGGCAGGGTGCCCTGCCAGGCACCAGCAGGCTGAGCCAGTGGGAGAAGTGGAGATGATGGAGGAAGGAGAATTGAGCTGTGGGCAGAGCATGACAAGGCCAAAGAGGAAATTCCTGCAAGCAGAGTTATGAGAGGATAAAAGTCTGCAAGAAGTAAGGAGCTGGGAGTAGAGTTTCACTGAAATCAGGATGTGACCAAGCCATGGAACCAAGCACAGGCTGAGCTTGAACAGGGAGGACCAAACAAGGCAGGAACTTCTGTGAGACATGTACAAAATAATCAGTCTGTACACCATTAATGACTTAGGGCCCACTGGGATCAGAAGACTGGAAGGAACTGAAGAAATGTTGTGGTAACGTGACAATTTTCAAACGTGTATTTTTTTTTCAGTGTATTTTAGCATTGCCCTGCCATCAACACTGAGCAGGCACAAGGGGACATTCTGCTGGGTCTCCAACACTGACACTTTTTATTAAAAGGGAAACACTTCAACAACCAATAACTGAAAACACACATGACATTCCTAAAAGCTTCATTGCTGGTTCCTTTTGTAGTATTTGTTCATTCCATTGTATTTTCCTCTCACTGCCCAGAAAAACATTCAGGTGGAAGGAAAGTTTTCCACTGGAAGACCATTTTCTATCAGCTCCACACTCCAAGGACCACAGCATCATTTTCTTGTGACTCAGGAGCCTGAAAACAGACCTGGGCACAAGGGGGCACACACAGAACCAGCCATGGAAGACTCTGCATGCTCCAGGCTGCATTAAAACTACTCAAGCTATAAATTGGCCTGTCCCTCACAAACCTCACCCTACAAAGAAGGCATTCATTGTCTGACCTCTGGAATACCCTGAGGAGAGAGCTGTACAATTTAACAAAGAGTTTTTAACTTGCTTTAGAAGGGGTACCCCCTGCTTCCTTGTGCATCCCTGGCTCTCAAGGCTCTGGGAACACTGGAATCACATTCCCTGCCAGCCACTCTGCTATCCATGGAGCTGGGGTAAGTCCAGAGGAGGCCACTGAGCTGGAACACATCTGCTCTGAAGACAGGCTGAGAAATGGAGGCTGCTCAGCCCGGAGAGGAGAAGGCTCTGGGGAGAGCTCAGAGCCCCTTGCAGGGCCTCAAGGGGCTCCAGGAGAGCTGGAGAGGGACTGGGGACAAGGGATGGAGGGACAGGACACAGGGAATGGCTTCCCACTGCCAGAGGGCAGGGCTGGATGGGATATTGGTAAGGAATTCTTCCCTGTGAGGATGGGGAAGCCCCAGAGCAGCTGTGGCTGCCCCTGGATCCCTGGAAGTGTCCAAGCCAGGATGGAGCTTGGAGCAGACTGGGACAATGGAAGGTGTCCCTGCCATGGCAGGGGTGGAACAGGGTGGGTTTTAAGATCCCTTCCAACCCAAACCAGTCTGGGATTGTGGGATTCTATTCCCTTCCTCCTGCACTGCCCTTTTGCCTGTGCTATTTTGAAGTATGTGGCTTCTCCTACATCCTCCCTATTTCCTGAGCAAATCCATTTCCTGGGAACTGCCCTTGCCTTTCCTTCTCTGACGGATCAGCCACATCTCAGACTGGTCAGATGTTTCCAGGAGATCTTCCCTGGCATCCCCAATCTCTGTGGTACTCCCTGAACACACTGTATCTCAGCCCAAATTCTCCTTTACCTTGTAGCACAAATCAAGCTGTTTATTCCACTTTCTTGGAAGCTCTGGAGCTGCATGTGGCATGTGGCTGGCTGCCCACTTACCCAGAAATAATCACAGTAGCTCCACTCTGAAGGTTTCAGCAACTGCTGCTCTGGCATTACGTCAGGGTGGGGGAAAGTCACACAGTTGATCTGTTAAAAAAAAATACAAAAGCGAAAAAAAAGGAGAGTTAGACAGTAATGAAATGTAGCTGTTAATGAGAAATACGTAAATAAAAAGTTATATCCATCAGAAAATCCGCAGTGAAGGCATGCCAGGGCAGAAAAACTGCTTGTTGCATGGAAACAGCCAAGTATTCCCAGAATGCTGCTTTCTGCAGGCAGGAGTGTTGGCTCAGAGGGAAATCAACTACCCATTGCACATGAGGAAAACCTGCTGCATTTGGAAAGCACCACGCAGGGAGTTCTCCCAAATCCCTGAAAACTGTGCTAAAAACCCTGATGTGAAACACCCTGAGCACCAGAGAGCACTGTCAGTGCAAAACACCCTTGGCTATGCCATCTCCTACAGAATGCCAAAAAAAAGGAATTATTGTATCAGTGCACAGCCCTTCAATCTGTGTCCTAGACCTTTTCAGATGGAAGTGATGCTCTGGGTAGAAAGGAGCAGGGGCTCTCTGGAGCCATGAACCTTCAGTGTTCACAGAGATCAGTCAGACAGGACTCATCACACGCTCATTAAACAACAGCATCAGAAAATCCAAGCACTCATTAAGCTATCCCAGTGGAACACTGCAGCCTGCTAACAGCACAGTGAAGGCAATGAGCACCACAGCTACAGCAGAACATTCTGCAGAACAACCCTGGACACAGCTGAGCCTCCCAGAGCAAGCACCAGCACGAGTCAGAGCTCACTGCCAGTTTGTAATGCTCACCCCAAATCCCTGCTGGGCAAGTTCCCCAAAATCAGCCCCTCTCAGGCTCATGGAAACACTAAAAACACTTGATTCATCAAGGGATCAAGAGGTATAGGGGTTGGGATGTCACAGATGTATCTGTATGGGGGTGGGGGTTTGTTTTGGATCAGTTAACTCACAGGAAATCCACACAAATCTGTGGGTAGGGTTAGCACAGCTGCACAGGCAGACCCAAAGGCATGCAGTGAATCTGCCTCTGGGCTATCCAGAGAGGATCAGAAAGGATGTGGCTGCTGACACAGCACAAACCCACCACTCCAGAGCACAGCAGACAAAGCCTTCAGCTGATACAAGCTGCTCCTACAAACCCACACTGGTTCTGCTGCCTCTGCCCAGGCTGGAGCTTCAGCAGCTGCCCTATAACAGTGCAGGAGCTTGCACTACATAAACCACCCTGCCAGAGCTTGCCAAGCCCATCCCAAAGCAGGCTGAGCACCCTGAACCTGTGCTGTCTTTGGCTGTCACCTCAGCTAGATCCTAAACCATGCGTCTTGCCTTCCAGCTCCCACCAGGCTCCAAACTGACCTGAAAGTCAGAAAATTGGGCTCTGCAGGCAGTGACCATGCACTGGGGACCCTGCACCTCCAACCAGAGCCAGAATCTCCAGCCAGAGGCACAATGTCCAGTCAGAGCTGGCATCTCCAGCCAGAGCTGGCATCTTCAGCCAGAACCAGCATCTCCAGCCAGAGCCAGCACCCTCAACCAGAGCAGGCACCTCCATCCAACTATGGAATTTTTATAGTATTTCTAGAGTTTCGAAAATTTTCAGAGCTGGCCTCCACTGGCCACAGGGTGCCAAGCACAGCCAGCACTGCAAACACCTTCCCTGTTCCCTTGGATTCCTGAGCAGAAGAGTCATGCACCAGCTCAGTTGAGAGCAGGATGGCCATGCTCTAACCAACTGCATCTCCCAAGTGTGTTCTGCAGCCTTTAACAGAAGTCTGGCCATCACAGAGTCACAGAAATATAGAATATCTTGAGTTGGATCATTGTGTTGTGGCACTGCACACCAGGACAGGGAGGTGATCTGCAGTGAGTGGCACAGGAGTTGTATCCTGCAGCTGAAAAATCTGCAAAGAGAACCAGCATGGGAAATTCCCACTCCCTGCTAAAGGCAGTGCCTGTTTCACAAAAGCTGAATCTGTGTCAGCTGGAAGCTGCTGATTAGAGATGTGACAGTGAGTGTCCATGTCCTGAAGCAATAACCACAGAGTCACTGGAAAGGCCAGGGCTGGACTGGTGACAGTGTCTCACTGCAGTGCACAGAACTCCAGGAATGCAGCAGCAAGTGGAACAGTGAGTGTGCACATCAGAAGGTGATGAAAGCAGGGTTAATTCAAGTGTTTCTCAAAGTTTTAGGAATAAATCAAAATATTCTTCACTTCTCTAAAGGCTGAATTGTCTGGAAATGATGCTGAATTGTCTGGGAAGAGTCATGAGGCCATTTGGGTCTAGTATCACTTTTAAAAGGGAATTGGTGCCAGAATCAAAAAATAAACTCAGAAGCTTTTACAATCTTAAAAACAAACAAACACACAAACAAAAATATTATGGTAAACAGAATTTAACAGAATTTACATCTTTTTACACTAAGTCCCAGCAGGGGGCATGAAAATTTTCTAAACTCTAGAAATACTACTAAAAATTCCATAGGACTACACAGGTAATCCTCTTTCTTTCCTTTCATTACCCCACATTGCTTACACTCAAACAAGAGCTCTTGGATTGGTATTTCCCAGCATTTCTAAAACCTCCCAGCATTTCCCAGCAGGAGGGGAACACCAGGCTGGCACTGAGCAGCAGTGGTGTGACAATGTGGCATTCCCTCCTCTGAAATGCTCCTTTTCTTGCCTCTAAAAGCAAAGAGAGCTGAAAAAACTGCACTCAGCTTCACCAGCTTGGTGCCACTGATGAGCTGAGTGATGTGAGGACAGCCAAAGCACCTGGGATGATGTCCCCATGTTTGACAGCTCCATCAGTCCCATGGACAGCGACACTCCATGCCAAGGAGCACTGCCCTCACCAATTTTGAGAGATCACACTTTGCTCACATCCCTGAGAGCTGTCCGGGCTCCATGCAAGCTCCAAATCCAGAGCTGTGGCACTGTGGATATTTGAATAATGCTGACTTGCCAGCAAGGCCTAACAAAAGCTTGCAGAAGGTGACTATTAGAGATGTAATTGCCAGGAAGAAACAAAACAAATTAAAACAGGTCTCTCAGATAATGATGGAATCACAGAGCATGAAGAGAAAACAAGGTGTGATGACCTGCATTGCATTCCCACAAGCTCCACTGGGACAGGTGAGGTGATAATCAGCCTCACCATGATATTAAGTTCTTATGCAGCCTCTTTGTCAAAATAATGGCTATTGTCAGCTTGCAACAAAGCAAAATTAATAACAAGACAGCAGCAGGGTAAAACCCCAAGGAAGAGCTGAACAAACCTGCCAGGGGACAGCAGCTTGTCTTTCCAGCTGCCATGGGCCAGGAGTGGCACCAGAAAACCTGTCTGGGAGCCACTGGATTAAAGGGGACAGCAGGATCAGAGTCAGAGAAGGAAAAAAAACACAGTGACAAACAAAGCTTGGTGGAGGACACACACAGAGGGGATCAAACAAGCAGCACAAATGCATTTCTCTTGACAAGCTGTATGCCAAACTCGATGGATTAAAATACTTTTGCATGTATACAGATCATGAGCAAATGCAATTATACCCTTAACAGCTGAATATTCCAGCTCCTATTTCCCACAAGGAACTGGCAATAATGACAAAATGAGCTGTTTATGGTGTAGGTGACTCTTAATTATGTCTGAGACACAAAAGGGTGACAGAAGAGGAACAGACCCAGGGAGCCAGGTGAATGTACAGGATTTGCACAGGAACAACAAACTTTGTTGGGCTGGACATGCACATTAATCTCCTGGATTTCAGAGTCTCTACAGGCTTTGAAGTCACTCACCAGTAAATGAGACATTGCCAAGCAACAAGAATAAAACACGAATAATTTGATCAAAGCTTAGATAATCAACTACATGTTTATTACATCAGTCACAACATAAATAAATGAGCAGAGAGCAGGAGAACTTACTGTGCCACACTCACGTGATTAAAGCAGGGCAACATTTTTGCTTATCTCTTCAACTTAAAAATGCACATTACTTTTTGATTTCTACACATTCTCAGCACCTTAAACACAGAGGAGCTGTCCCAGATTGCCTCACTTCAGTATGTTCTTTACAATTTCAGCTGAAACCCAAAAAGTACAACATCCAACATTGAGTTCATATGGCAAATGGAACCATTTGGGTAAAAAAAGCCAAATGCAAAGGCTGGAGAAGAGCTTGGGCAGCCTGAACTCTCCCCAGACAGGGAAGCCCAGAAATGCCTAGGCTGTGTCTGGGCAGCTTCAACACCATGAGTTTGCCCTGGGTTTTAGCTCTGGTAGGGTGATGCTGCAGCTATGGTACCACAGAAGGGAAGAACAGACAATTCAAGTCCTCACTGTTAACAAATCCATTGATTCCTTCCTATTTCAAAGGAAAGATTCTGCCAAAAGTGTGGAGGAGCCCTCTCCACTTGGTCTATCTGTAGAATGGTTCAGAGATAATTCAGGCCCCTGCCCAACCAGGGCTTTTGTGACAGTATCTACCATAGTCAGCCCCAGGGCACAGGGGGAATCTGGGCTGAAACTGTGCTCATCACAGCCCTGTGTGTGTCACACTTGCCAGACACAGAGCAGAGAGCAGGAAATCCCAAGTTCCTGTGCACAGGCTGCCCCTCTTCCCATCTGCAGCGCTGTTCACTGACATGGCCAGCACATGCAATCCAAACACCAGCATTTTCCAGGTCCTGCACTATCCCAACAAGGCACGAATTTTGAAGAAAAAAACCCACACTCAGAAATACCTTATAATCAGGCAGCTTTCCTGCTCTTCCAAGTAAGACACAGCTCTGTTCCTCAGGTGAAATCTCCCTGTACATTCTGCATTTAACTCTCCTTCACCTATTGTAAATATCTCCAGCTTCCACAGACCAGAGGCTTCAGGAATCAGCCAGCAAACCATCCAGCCTTAAAACAGCAAGTGTACCTTGAAATTAATTGTAAAACCAGTAAAGACCACACATCTGCAGTTTCATAACTCTGATATACCCAGCTGGAGTTTCTCCTCCAAAGAAGATGGAAGACCATGTCAGTAACATTCACTGACCAA